GCACCACAAGGGGCCTCCCCTGTAGGGTTTCGGGTTTAGGATCATATGTACATCATGCAGGCATGAGCTCGGAAAGTTCAAACTTGCGTGCTATCGAGTGTGAAAGCACCTGACACTTAGAGCAAACACATGGTTGTGGATTGGATTTTGCTTGAGTCATGAGAAGAATCGCACGCATTGTGAAAAGTCCAGAAACTACTTCAAGCAAAAGCAAGAAATGGGCTGCAAGTTTGCAGCGTGACTTTGAGAGATTCTCCATCAAGCCCCATTGACTCCCATGTTCTTCCGCTTTGTATCAGTTGGCACATTTTTTCTTAAACCGGCTGTTCATTATTTGCGTTTTCAAGTGTACATTTTTGAACAGATTGGTCTTGGTTGTTGTTTTTCGGATTGTTTCCAAGTTCAACTGATGTTTGTTCCACATTTTTTTTCCGTTTTTTGTGCATTTGACTCTTTCATTTTAGATGCATCAAGCTGGATTCAGTTTTGGCTTCCGTCCGACGCAAACGATTTGAAGTATTAAAGTCTCACAAATCCTTTCCAAGATGTGACACTGATGTTTGTTGTGTCCACTTCGTGTTGCAACCGTTGTATGCTCTGTGTCAACGTAATTTGTCTCAGGTATCCAAAAACACCAGTTGAAATTCATGATGATGACGATGATGACGTTGTGGTTGATGGATGATGATGACGATTTGATGGTTCGATGATTTGCTGCGAAAATGCAGATGCAGATGAAGATGAAGATGAGGATGAGGATAAAGATGAAGAGGAAGATGATGATGATGATGATGATGGTGGTGATGATGATGATGTTGTTGTTGCTGTTGCTGCAACGGGGGGTTGCTACTGTTGCCTCCCAGGCCACGTGTGTGGCGGCCGTCGGTGTCTGTCATTCCACCATTTGATGCTGCATGGAACATTTATGTACATTCCAAGTGTTAACCCTTGGTCGTTGTCGGCTCAAGACGGCCCGCAGCCCGCTTGGCATACTATCACGACTTGTGGAATATTTGGAAATGGCAAAGGACAGTTTTCCAGCTGCATGTTGCCTCGTGGTCATGTTTGGTAGTGTTGTGTGAGAACCAAATAACAACTCGGAACCGTTTGCTCAGGCTACAAACCCCTGGGCGGCCAGAAGGCTTTCATCGTACAGTGCATTCCTTTGATTGCGTATGTCCGTTCAGCTGACTGTGGGAGGATATCGAGGACGGAGAAGAGTCCAGTGAGGCCAGGCGCATTTCCGTGGACATGATGCTCATGCCTCCGGCCGAGCGTTTCACGGGTCCTTTTGTCGTGACGAGAACACAGCGACGTGCATGGAAGGCATCCGGCTCCGATGACGATGGTGCGCTCACGAAGCTCCAAGGCCACCTGGCGGATGCGAGGCTGGCTGTGGCAGGATGTTCCCGGGGGTGGATAGTTGGTTTCTCAACGTTTCATGCCTGTTGCACACGGTGGGCGCCTGCAAGTGGCGAGCGGTCCGATGTTGACAATCCACCCTGCAGGGATGGGTTCGTCGTGTCGCACAAGACCGCGTTGCAGGTGGCATGTGTGGCTCCCAGTGCATACTTGTTCTCCATGGCTTCTGTTGTTTGCACTGGGTGGACACTGAAGTTTCTGCTTGCATGCTCATCGTTAGTCTTCTTATAATATAGTAGAGAGTCTGGCCTTACCTTTCGGCTGGAAGCGCTGAAGCCGTATTCACGAGTGAGTTAAGCCGTCATCACGTTCTGGTCTCGAAAATCAGGTTGGGTGACAATCTGGGCTGCTGTCGCTGTGTATTATCGGCGTTCGACGCTCACCGAAAAGGGCTTCAGCGCCTCCTTGATCCTGCTGGGTCCTCAGCGTTGTTCAGCAGGAAGCCATCAAGATAAAGGGGGGCTGAGACCTAAGACGAGACCTGCTGAGGTGCAATGTCCTTTTCCAAGTCGGGGGCTCAGCCAAAGCCCTTCGAGGCGTCCGTGCCCCTTGACGTGCCCAGTTATGCACTGGAGCCAAGAGGGCAGACCTTGCAGTGTCCGTGCCTTGCACTTGCCGCTTCGAATTTCGACAGGTCGGCTCGGACATGGGATCCACCGTCAAGAACATCTATTATGGTCTCATCGGTCAGGTGATTGCATGGTTCCTTGTCAGCACGGTACACGGTTTCATCAGTTCTATCAGGTTCGGAGCGAAAGTAGTGCACTGCGGTGTCTGACGATTTCGGACTGTGCCGGATTTGCAGTTCTCTCATGTTGTTGACCGTGGAAACATGTGCGTAAATGTCGCACGAGGTTCGTCTACTGGGTGTTTATGGGCTTCTTCCCCGAAGGATATGATGGAGAGTGCCACGACTCAACCGAAGGATTTTGGTCGGTCTTCTGAACGTCAGTGCAATGTTAGTGTGTCACTGGAGTTCTAACCAGCCCTCAATCGAGCAGAAGGGGGAAAAAGATTCCAAGCTTGCAAGGAACACCGGAGTGCTCTATGCAGCTCTGGCTGTGATCTCTCTCTTCACTTTTGGGTTGATTTTTCTCAAGATCGACGAGACAGTGCGCTTCTGGGCGCTCATCTCCTTCACTGGTGGTTTTGCAATGAATATGGTGAAGCCTGGTGTGGAAAATGAACATTCGACAGGCTGGAGCTGGTGTGTTTTTTTTTACCCGTGGGCCCGCAACTACATCATGTCAGCCATGCTTGAACGAGGCAAACTTTACTTGTGACGAGCTGGAAACTGCCCATATGAGGGTTCGTGTCAGCTGCTGCATTTCACTTCTGCATCAGGTGGCTTCAAACTCGACTACCGTGGAACTGCAGAGAACGAGCCTTGACTTTTATGCACTCTTGCAGACATTCACGCTGCAGGCAAAAAATCGGTTGTCAGAGTTTCTGGCATGTAGTCCAGCTGCGCACACCGGCGAATGCGGACGGAATGTCAAAGCTCGGCTGGCGATAGAAGAGGTACGTAGCGATAATGGGACGCAAGATTGGAGGTGCTTGGCAGAAACCTGAACCTGAACGTGCACGAACTGAGGGAATCATTCTCTTCGTTGTTGCCGGCGTGCTCTCCACGTTGATTTTTGCGATCCCTCCTATCTTGTCTCTGGATCGCGGCCAGAAGCGTGTAGAGACCTGCTTGCAAAAGTCAGCAGAGCTCGAGTTAGGGCCATGCGCAACTCAGCATCAGCGTGAACTGTCTGAGAAGAGCTTGTAATGAGGTGATTGTGTTGAAGAAGCTCAAGCAGAACATCCAGTGTCTTGAAGTGTATGTCGTTCACGATTTCCCTTCAGACTGTTTGACAGAGTATCTTGAATCTCTGCTTCTCTGGCACTGCCAAGCTACGAGGGAGCTGAACACCTACTACGCTCGTGACACGGCGGGCTTGGACATTGTTTCCATCAAGGAACGGGCCATCATCACATCTCCTATCCATAGTCTGTAGTGCACGTAGAAAGTGACGGTGTGCTGCCTCCACCCTCCCAGCTCTCAAGGTTCTGCTGGTGAGCGGAGACGTGAACTGAAAGATTGATTCTCTTTGTCATTTGCGATCCCACCCTGCCTGAGCACAGAAGAACCCAGCATAAGAGAGAGGAGTCCTAGAGAGCTTCTCCGCAACTTCTTGGGACTACAGGTTGCTCATGTAACCCCCCGGATATGGAGAAGCTCGTGATTGCTCCGTGCGTTCACTCTGTTCGGATCGAGAGGTCGCACGAGCTTGCTTGGGATGGCTTACTGGCATTACCTCTAAGACTAATTACGAACGCAAGTGTCTCAATCGTTACTGACACCGGTCCTTTTGCAGATCCGCTGCATGAGGCTTTAGGAGATGTCGAGACCCTACCGGGTAGTGTGGTGCGTGGGCTCGTGCTTGCGGGTACAAGCCAAACGACACGGAAACAGATGAGAATGTGCCAAGTCTTGACAAACGCTGCAATTTGGCAATGCTACATGTTTCACACGCTTCGTCGTGCGCATCTTCGTTTGGCTGCTCAATGTATGCAATGTGACGTCTCTAACACTCCCGAGCAGATAGCCAGCAGAAAAGTCCTCAGCAAATGCTTGTCCGGATCACCGGTCCGCAGCAGGAAGCCGGCACTGGACCCAGCCATCCGGCCATTAGGGGATTCTGGTTCTTGTCCATGTCTATGTCCTTCTTTCATATTGTCCTGTGACGGATAGATTCGTTACCAGACGGCGGGACGCATTTTGTACCTCTTGCCAGATCACGGGTCGATGAGTAGCGGCGTCGCGCAGGAAAACTTCGCGTTGCTTACGAAAGAGCTTGAAGAGGCAGAAGCCTACGGCCTCGATCTCGGTGCAACGGCAGCCTAGGAGCCGGGGTTTGGGCTCCGTTTTTCGAGGCCAAGCGTCCTGGTACGAGTCCCTGGGCTCCAGCAGCCGGCTACTCCTTACGACGAAGCTGACTTCACTCATTCGGGACTGCCGACATGTCTGGGACATCCTAAAACCTGAACCCTAAACCGCCCTGCAAGGACTTGATCGAGACTGCCCGTCCATTGTTCAACATTGTGGCAGAAGAGGATTTTGGACCAAGTGCAGAGCTTGATTCAGTAAAGCTGCAAGCAGGTGGTTATTCTGCCTCTTCGGCAAGACACAGTGATTAGGTCATTCCGCCATGATGAAGCATATCAAAACGCCCATGACGAACGTCGTCGACAGCCCTCGGCTTATGTGAAGGTAATGATGACTTTAGCTTACAGCTGTTTGTTTATACCACGGAGAGGCGGTGATGTTTTCAGTCAGCCGGACTAGCGGTGAGGTACCATCCGCATGGTGGAGATGCTAATCGACGCGTGTGAGGATGGGTCTGTCAGCAAAGACGAGAAAGCCAATCTGAAGGCTGGGACTGCCGGTATCGCTGTTCTGGGATGAATATGCACCTGCTCGATGGACCATGTCAGGCAGAGATCGACAAGATGCCAGGCTTGGTGGACGCATTGCAGCAGAAGGCAGATTTCTCAAATTAACCGGAACGCCGAGATCAAACAATTTGTAGACCAGAGGGTACTCTGGCAGGTCAAAGCGGCCCAAGGGGGAGTTGGCAACAAGAAGATTCAGGAAGAGGTCGGGGAAAGCTGCAAGCGCTGCAGGTGAGTTGTTGCACACAGGGAGCTCATGAAGTAGAAGTGTCCCCTTCGAATGTGGTTTGGTGCGATTTGGGCAAATGTTGGGAAAACTCGGCAGCCCCGTTAACATGACCCGAGATGCATTGTGAACAGCTGTCAACCTCTTCCATACAGCTGTGCCCAAGCTAACATGCTGTTTTGATGGCAGGGACTTTGCAAAAGCCGTGTGCAGTGGCAGAGAGCAGTTTTCTTCTGATTTGCTGAATGTCGAGCATGATTTGCGAGACTATTTTCGACAACTTTTTCTTGTCGTTTGTGCGTCTGGTGTCGGCCCAACCACATTGTAGCAACGTGCTGCCGTCAAGAGCGCACCAAGAGGTCGTATGAGAACAACGCCTGCCTGATTTGTTTACCGAATGCTTGGTCAAGATATGTGTGTTTGTGTGCGTGTGTGCCACGCCTCTGCCCACAAGGTCTGTTATGCTTGTAGCTGGCAGCAGCTGACGTATCATTGCTAAGCCGAATCTGGAGTGCAATTCGCGATCAAAGGCTACCAGTTTTCGAGGCTTCAGGGCGGTTGGAGGGTGTGGTGTTGCAGATCTTGCTTCCGATGTGGAAGCATGGTTGGATTTCACTATTTCAGATCGTTTGTGTAGTATGGCTCGGAGGCTTTGTTGCATCATGTCTCACAGATCTTTCTTGTGTCGCCTCCTTTCTCCATCCTGATGGGCATTCTTCCCATTACAGGTGCTCGGAGAGCATTATGTGGTTCTCACGATCTGCTACCTCGCGCAGATGGTTCAGGATCAGTCGAAGTTCTTTATTAACTACACAGGCAGGAGGGAAAGAAGTGTCGGTTGTTTTTGTGCATACCGTTGAAGTTGCTGCTGACACTTACAACTTAGTTGGAGCCTGGCCGAGAGGTCGCGAAGGCTTGATGGGATGTGGCAACCCACTCCTGGGCCTGTTCACCTATGACAAGGGCGACATAAGGCATCCAGTGTGCGAGGTTGTCTCGATTTGTACTTTCAGCCGTCAGTCTTGCATGGTGAGCTGCCAGTATTGATAGCTTCAGTACCGGTTAATGCCGCACTGAAGGTGGGCGGCAACCGCGACACTTTGTCTCCTTGTCAACTTTTTCATCGGCTATCGTGGCTGCTTCGACAGTATTGGTATGAAGAAATCAAGAATGTCCCTGACGTGCGACCCTCATCAAGGCAAACTCCACCCCTCCCAAAACCTTCTAAAATTTCCCAGACATGTTCCTGAGAAAGGAACACTTGCAGATGCATGTTTGGGGTTGGTGGGACAGGGATAGATGGTACAGCAAACTTAACATGATATTTTATGGTCTACCATCGAACGTGCCTTGAGATTTGGTACAACATAGTCGAGCGTGACCGCTCACGCCCCGTGGCAGAAGTAAGCGTGTGGCAAGTTAAGCAGTTGAGTAGGCGACATATTTACTTGTTGCATGCTGCGTGTAAAGCTAGTGTAGCAGCTCCCCAAACCCTGCTTACCTGGCGAAATACGATACCACGGGCTACTCAACCTGACAGCTTTACTATGTCTGGTAGCCAGCACAATCTTATCCAGGGTGGCATGTCTGGTATGAGGGTTCCACGCTGGGAGGTGCCAGAAGGACGAGAGATCGCAGGTTGAAGCGCCACCAGAGGATACCCTATGCCCCAGCATCCTGCAGTCTCCCGGTATCTTTAAAAGTTGCCGGGGCCAGAGACCTGGCAGATCCTTGTAGCTTTGTCCAACGGTTACTGTATGGATCATACCTGGCTGGACCCTTCTGTGTCCTGAGGCTGGTGTGACGACGCCGCCCTCGAAGCGTATGAAGCCAACCCAACTGGAGAGGCTGAGACAGACCTCTGCCATGATGGGACTACACATCTTTCATGCAATGTCCAAAGTACAGCGGCATCTGCGAGGGACCGTAGAGGAAAGCAGTGAGCGACCCATTCCCGCCCTCGTTTGTACTCAGTAGACATTCTGCCGCTTTGGACACAGCGATGTGCTTACTTTTTGCGTTCTTGTCAGTGTCCTTGTTGTCGGATTCAGCTGTTGGCAGGCGGTGTTGTGATCGCTGCTGAATCGCGTTTCTGCTTTTCTTGCTCTTGCCGCAATTTTGCTGGCATTGTCGCTGGCGTGCGAGCCTTCGCTGGTGCTGTTGCAAAAAAACTCAATCTCCGTGCAGGCTCCCGTGTGCTTCATCAACAAGTACACAGCGGGTCTGGCAAACATCAACGACTATTGGCCGCAGTTATGCTTGCGATGCTACGGTCTGCGCTCCCTTAGAAGAGCAACACAAACGCCGTTTCAGGATGGTACGGGGTCGGCGGGTTGACATTGACGTCAGCGTCGTTTTGGTCGTTGTTGTAGTCATCGTCGTAATCGTCGTCGTCGTTGTTGGTGCTGGTGTTGTGATGGCGGTGCTGCTTTTGTCCGCAGCCCTGTTGATGACAGCAGCCACTAATTCCCAAGCCTTGCGGCCAGAAGCGCCGTGCCGTGCAATGGACATCGATGCCGAGCATGTCTGTGTGGTTTGCCTTGTTGGCAAGCCCGACGTGCTGTTCCGGCCTTGTGGGCATGTGGTGTGCTGCAGCGGCTGCTCGCCCTTGCTGCCCCGTGCTGCCTGTCCCTACTGCAACGCGCGAATCCAGGACTTCCCTGCGTTTGTCCTGAAAGCACAGAATTCCTGGATCTTCCAGCCTTCAGGCCCCAAGAACACAAGAGACCCGAACTCATCATAGGTGCTTCGGGAGGTTGATTACGATTTTAACAGCTTGTGGTGTGGGTGTATGTGTATGTGTATGGGTAATTGGGTAATTGAGCCTACGATGACAGAAGCGATTGCCAAAGCAATGGCCTCGGACGTTGTGCTTCAAACTGCAAATAGCATCAGGACCGGCGGCAATGCCATGCCAACAGCTTCTTCATAGGGCGGCAGCATCCTTTGATGCAGACAGGGAGCACCAGCTTGTCGGACAGGCCACTTGACACTTGCCGAAATAGCAAATCCTAGAAACCCTCAGCTCTAAGATGTGTGCCTCCCGTATAGGAATGCATCCGGGCGCTGGATTGACAGGTGGCCCAGGCATGCAGCAATATGGGCATGCCTAGCTTCTGAGTCTGCGTTGATCTTCCATTTTGGAGGTTTCCGAGTTTGTCCAGACTTTCAATGTTGTGGAAGAGAAGAACCAAGGTTTGTCTCGCCTTGACGAAAGTAGCTTGCTCTGTTGCTGCTGCAGACGATTCAAATGCATTGGCCCACCTGTCTTGGGGAATCGCTTCGGGAGCGCAGTTCGTCTACAAGATGGGCTTGATGCTGTACTGCCATGTTCTCGCTCCAGCACCAGACTTGTTGTGGTATGTACTTGTCCAGATTTGCACTGTGGTGGCTTCTGGCATGCAGTTCACTTACAACATGGGCTTGGTTCCTTTGTATTTGCACGTTCTGGCCCCGATGCCACAACTGGCTTGGAAAGCATCCGCTGAGCTGTGCTACGTAATCACAACTGGCGCACACTTCGTCTACAGAATGGGTGTGGTCCCCTTTTGTGTGCACGTACTGGCTCCAACACCACAGATGTTGCAGTATGCCATGCTGCAGATGTCGTCGGGAATTGCTTCGGCTGCACACTTCGTCTACAGCATGGCTTTGGTACCACTGTACAGTCAGGTTCTCTCTCCGACGCCAGAGTTCCTATGGCATTTGCTCATCAAGGTGTCGACGGAAGTTGCCTCCGGTGCGGCGTTCGTCTACAAAGCGGGCTTGGTCCCGTTTTACTGTCACATACTGGCTCCGTTTCCGTGGCTCTGTTGCAAAGTTTTCGGGGACGTGTTCTACGGAATCGCTTACGGTGCTCAGTTGCTTTACAGCATGTGTCTAATCCCGCTCTATGTCAACGTAGTGATGCCGGCACCAAGTCTGACATACTGCGCGGTAGGGCATCTGTGTTTGGGAATCGCTTCGGGTGCGCAGTTTGTCTGCAAGATGGGCTTGATGCTGTACTGCCATGTTCTCGCTCCAGCACCAGGCTTGTTGTGGTATGTACTTGTCCAGATTTGCACTGTGGTGGCTTCTGGCATGCAGTTCACTTGCAACATGGGCTTGGTTCCTTTGTATTTGCACGTTCTGGCCCCGATGCCACAACTGGCTTGGAAAGCATCCACTGAGCTGTGCTACGTAATCACAACTGGCGCACACTTCGTCTACACAATGGGTGTGGTCCCCTTTTGTGTGCACGTACTGGCTCCAACACCACAGATGTTGCAGTATGCCATGCTGCAGATGTCGTCGGGAATTGCTTCGGCTGCACACTTCGTCTACAGCATGGCTTTGGTACCACTGTACAGTCAGGTTCTCTCTCCGACGCCAGAGTTCCTATGGCATTTGCTGATCAACGTGTCGACGGAAGTTGCCTCCGGTGCAGCGTTCGTCTACAAAGCGGGTTTGGTCCCGTTTTACTGTCACATACTGGCTCCGTTTCCGTCGCTCGCGTGGAGTATATTAGTGCAGATCTCTTCAGGCTTAGCTTCCGGTGCTCAGTTTGGCTTCTAATCATGCGTTTCTGCTGCGGAAATCTTCCGCAGTGTGAGATCGGCTGCCACTCGTGCTAAGAATGCGAGGGTTTGCGAATTCGACCATGGTTTCTCCACTCTTGTCCCTGAGGACAGCACCCAAGAGCCGCACAAAGCGACATAGTTGCCCTCAACCTGCCAGTTAACACTAGCTTGAAAGCAGTCTTTGGCATATCGCAGCAACGCTGAAAAGATTCAGCTAGAACTTATACTTCGTTTTTGTTCTGCAACAGTGAAACTACCCGTATCCGATAAGTCTCGGTTCCCCTCACAGTTCAATGCCACAACTCTCTTTGGTCATGCCAAGAAACGATGTGTCAATTATGCTAGCACTTCAATTCAGCATGGGTTCTGCAATGTCGCTTTGCTGTGTCCATGCCTTTGAGGTGATCCTGATGTCACGCTACAGTGGAGGCACGCTCAAGGCTGACGGGAACGTCTAGAAACGGCCCGATGGGCGTCAGAATTCTTGCTAGACTGGTTTCCTGAGCTGTGTCCACTAAACCCTAAACCCGGCTAAAACCTAAACCCTAAAGCTTTGTCCCACTAAACCCTAAACCCTAAACCCTAAAAAAAACCCTAAGCCCTAATCGGCCCTAATCCCACTAAGCCACGTTGGTCCCTTGCCAGGCAGCATTGGAGCGAGTGGCTGCTGTGGTCTTCGCTTCGGTTGTGGGCCGGGAGCACAGGCGAGCGAGGTCAGTCCTCTCATTCTTAGGTTAAGAAGTATGGGTCCCTAATATGAACCCTAAGGCCTTTCTGTGATCCCTTATAAAGGTACATATATATATATATATCTGTTTTTTTTTTAGGGCCCATACTAGGGGTCCATGGTTTCAACCTTAGACTCATAGCAAATGTCGATGTTGGGGGGGTTGCAATTCACTGAAGATCCGATTCCATGGATGCACAAGTACTAAATTCTCCACTTCGTTTTACTTGGTGCTTGTGCCGAATTTGGCAGTGGATGCTGTGCTACAACATCCGATGTTTGGTAGTAATGGCAGATAGCAGTTTGGACAAGAAGGCGCAGCAGTTGCGATGCTAGTTGATTGTGAGGCGATTTCATGCACTTACGTTAACTATTCGCAAGATACTTGCAACATGAAGCAGGTAGCTTGAATTGATGCTTCTTGGCGCCTTTTCCAGTCGCACATACCCTCTTTCGTCGTCTTGGGCAAATGTATGCTCCGACTACCAAAATCAGGGGCCGAAGGCGCTACTACTATTACGAGTGTTAACATCAATGCCTATTTCTATTTCTGCTTTTGCTAGCGTATTCCTACTACGTCTGAGGTCAGATTGGTTTCGTGGCCCTGGGCTGGTGTGCCGACTTTACGAGGACCTTGATGGAGGTCTTTCCATAGCCCCCTTTGTGACTTCTTGGTGCGATTCATGGTATCAAGTTTCCAGTCAAGGCCTTAAGTGCAAAGGTCTTCACTGGCAGGTATCGTTCCGTGCTGCGCTTCCGGACTGTGCTAGCATTAAGTCATTGCAAGCGGGTGTTGCAATGAAGCGGCTGCGTCTTTACAGGATGCTTACGGTGGTTGTGGTATTTTTCGTGACGTGGGGCTTCATGCTACTTGGCTGGACATTGCAATAGAGATAAATCAAAATTCAGAGGTATTCAGACTCATCTCAGGTACTTCACCTACGATGGAAGTGAGAGTTCGAAAGGAATCGCCCAGCGTCTAGCCGCTATCACGGCCTTCTGTCTGCAATTTATGAAGTTTCTGGTGAATCCGCCAGGTACGCAAGCCGCAGGTCTCGTCAGTGCACCCATGTGCGCAAGGTCTCGTCTCTCATGTCCGACTGCTCCGACGAGTCTGGCACCGCGGTTACCTACTCCAGCTCCTACCACTCGCTCAGCGAGATCATTCTTGGTGCCCGCACATGTTTCAGACTGGAGTTGCTTTTTCGTGTGTGCAGCTTCAGAAAGACAAGCTGATTGCAGATCCATCCCATGAGATTGCTACACACGATACCGGGTGGGGCAGCAGCAAAATCTGCCATTCTGCTTGGTTGAGGTGTTCTTGTCATGACCCTATTCGACACCTTGTTCGGCGACAAGCCTGCCGCGACGCAGGCGACGTTCCCAGATGGTGTCTCTTTAGCAATCTTTCTACCTATCTTTCTACCTTCTATCTATCTGTCTGTCTGTCTCTCTCTCTATCTGTCGATCTATCTATCTATCTATCTATCTAACTATCCATCCATCTAGCAGTCCATCTGTCTATCTATCTATCTATCTATCTATCTATCTCTCTCTCTCTCGATGTCTATCATCTCTATCAATCTATGTGTCTATCTATCGATCTATCTGTCTCTCTCTCTATCTATCTATTATCTATCTGTCTATCTATCTATATATCTATCAATGTAACTATCTATCCATCATTTTATCTATCTACCTGTCTACGTATCTATCTATCTGTCTGTCTATCTATCTATCTATCCATCTATCTATCTATCTATCTATCTAGGTAACTGTCTATCTATCTATCTATCTACCTATCTACCTATCTGTCTATCTGTCTGTCTATCTATCTATCCATCTAACTAACTATGTATCTATCTGTCCGTCTGTCTATCTATCTATGTATCTCCGACTCTCTCTATCTATTTATCTATCTATCCACCTATCTATCTAGCTGCCTAGGTAGCTATCTATCTCCCTGTCTCACTACCTATCTAGCTGTCTATCTATCTATCTATCTATGGTCCATGGTCCCGAATGGCCCCCGCCCCCCCTCCCGGGGTCCCTCTTCCCCCTGTGGTGTGGTTGTGGGGTTTGGGGTTTAAGGTTTAGCTTAAGCTTTTGAGTTTGGGGTTTAGGGTATAAGGTTAAAAGTTATAAGGCTTCGAGTCGACAAGAGCTTAGGAAGGGTTTGGGGTGTAGTTTGGTAAGGGTGACGGGGTTTATGTTCTGCTTCAAGCTTAACATGTGCATGTAGGCGGGGTTGAGTGTTGGATGTAAGGTTCAAAGTATTAAGTACAGGTTAAGGTTAATAAAAACAGGAACATGCCCACCGTTATAGGGTTTATGGCTTGCGTAGGGCTTGCGTAAGATCCCGGCCCTCTCTGTGATCCCTGGGAGCCCCTTAGCGGCACCCCACCCAACCGCCCCGACCCCTCCTTGCACGCGCCAGCCCCCCCCGCCCCTACCGGACCATACCATTGGGGGGGACGCCAGACGTCTGACCATATACGTTTTCGTGATTCTGTTTACACATGTACACATGCACATCTACTGAAACTGCACATATCAGAATACAGGATGATGTCTTACATATATGCCTACCTACATACATACGTACGTACGTTCGTACATATCTCACGGCCCCCCATCCTGCACCTGACCAGGCAGCAGAGGCTCTTGAAGATGCAGTCGAAGGCTACCGCAAGGCGTTTCTCTGAGCTTTGCTTTCTCCCTCGGTGCATTGGCCTTTCGGGTTGGGGTCCAGGCTGGAACGGAGTGGCAACAGCCCTGAACCTCATTCTACCGTACATTTTCTGCAGGGAAATCGACCTGCTGCTTTCAAGCATACAAGTCTGCAGCCGGATCAGTGCTTCTCTCGTGTACAGACGTTGCGATGCGAGCAAGGTTGTCAGGCACATGCTATCGCAATAAACTTTTCAAACTCACTATTGCCCAGGCTCCGCACATGTCTTGTTCCCAGGTTGTCACAAATAGGTACAATAACCTCAGAGTCAGGGACAAGGCGACCGCCCTGTGAGACCGCTGGCAAGATCTTGTCGATCACTCTTGCCGTGCAGTGATGCCACAACTTGTCGAACATGGCACAGTGAATCATGCTAGGTCCGCATCTAGCATTCGTGGCATTATGCCATGGCGCAGTGAGTGTCATACACACCATTCCACAATCTGTCATGTTCGAGTGAGTCATTCCCTTCAGCCAGACCATATGGTACATAAGTCCACGAGATATTGCACAAAGTAGCCATGCTACATCAACGAAAAGAACTTGACAAGGCGACCAAAGCCTTGATTCGGTGTTGTAGGGACCCAAGCACAGTGTTTACAAGCCACCGCTCGCGTGGGACTTCGCAAAATTCGAGTCGTTTCCAGCAGCACAGGTTCTACATCTCGAACTTGCGTTTCGAGGAAGACAGCACATGGAAAGACATGAGTCACACCGAAAGCGAAGGAAGAAGGCAGTTGGACCGGAACGGGTGACAGACAAGACGTTTGCAGGAAGTCTTGGATGGTCTGTGGACATAGCCTGGGTATGCCAGGGCCCGTGAAAGCGCAGCTCATTCTTGTAGGTGGCGAGGTGGAGAGGTACGTCCTCGGTTTAGGGAGGGTTTCCAGGGTATCCTAAATAACCCTAAAACCGAAGCGCAGACTACTCCCGCTCCGAGGGTATGGTGAATGAGAGCATGCCAGTGACCTCGCCAAACACCACAGGATTTGGCTTGCAAGAAAGGGTGAGATTCCAGACAGAGGGCGGCAGTACGCGAAGTCTTGCCGTGAGGGTGTCTGACGTGCGTACCCCGCAGGGGAGTCTTTGTTGGCAGGCGGCAAAAGGCATTCAAAAGAAGCCCAAAACCCGAACCCCCAATTCCAAGCCCTAAACACTACACCTTCAACCCAGCAGCAGGTTGAGAGGTCTGATTCTCTTCGGAAAGACAGCTTTGGCTGAGTTTTCAGTCTATGTGAAAACAGAGAGTCGCTCTGGATCTTCCGCCGTCAGTCTCTAGCAAAGGCTAACATCGAGAGCTTCTCGGCTCTCTTTCCAAGGAGCGCCAGGATCATGTGCTTCGTTGGAGATATCACAAGGACACGTGCAGTGTACGAAGATCAGTTCGCCAACTTGCCGTACCGAAAGCGTATGACAAGCTCTAAACTGGTCGAGATGGTGTCCATAGCATCTGCTTGGCTTGGCCACCCGACTTTATCGAACGCCAACAGGGGGGTTCGCCAATGTCTTATCGGTCTTATCGTACCTGAAATCTTCTCGCCCACTGTCGGAAAGTAGCATGGGCCAATCTTGCACTCCAGCACAGGGGCCAGAGAGCGAGCAGCGAACACCAACAGCATTTCTCATGCAGCAGCTCCTACTCATCAGACCCGGCAGAACCCACAGCACGATGGGAGGTGTTCATCAGATACTTCAACGGTGAGATCGACGACACGCAGTTAAGTGGTGCTCTTGTCGCGAGACGGCATTGTCACCAGTTGCTTTTTGTGCTGCCGATCCTTGTCCACCGGGTCATGGAGCTTGAGGTTATGCTTGCTGGCAACATAGTCGATAATAGTCGATATACTGTTCCGTTTCAGTCACTGCAGCGTCACGTGTAACTAGTTTTGCTGGATGACTGGCAACGGTCGTGAGCTCTGCTGTGTGATGCTGTGATGTGCTACTTCACGCAGTGTCAGGGTTCGTAGTATTAGGATTGTTGTGGTGATTTTTGATGCTTCGGTTATCATGCTTCTTTTTCCCCTTGATGTGGATTGTCGTTGGTATTGTTTTTGTTCCATTGCCCGAAGTACCACTACGCTTACTGCTACTATGATCACAATTTAGCACTTCTTTTTCTGAGTTTGATTAGCATTACTGTCACTATTGTTTTTTTTTTGCTGTGGTCGCTATCATCATAGTTGCGCTCTTTAGATGATGAGTAGTATTACTGTGATTTTTTGCCAGTTACACTCCCTAAGCCTAAAACCTGAGCCCAAGCCAATTATTGCGATGATTCTCTTAAACCCTACGCCGTAAACCCCTAAACCCTAAACCTCTTGAAGCGAGCTCGCATCGGGATTGGGGTTGGCTCCAGGCATTACTCGCAGATAACCCACGGCAGCGCAGCTTCGAATTGATCGTTTTGCCTTTCGCGGCCAACAAACAATCCACAAAGTGCTGCTATCGTAACGATGGCTTCTGCCGATCTGTGCTGGCTTCTGCCGATCATGTCAACAGATGCATCCCGAAAAGTCTGATTATTCAGAAGTCTGCGTATCTGAATGTACAGAAGTTGATACAACCTGTTTCCTTCTCACCCTGAATTCTGCATTTGTTGGCACAAGGGTGATAACCGTGGCGTCCCTTGGGCCACGTCGTCGCACATCCACATGCCTGGCAAGCACCTCCCTTTCGCAAACTACACTTTTAAACCTCTGAACCCTTAAACCCCTGAGCCCCTGAACCCCTAACACCCCCCAAAAAGCACCAAAAAAAGCCCCTTAAACCCTAAGCTCCCAGCGAAGGCAGAGCCACAAGCGGACCTCGCGGAGGCGAAGTCTGCTGCCGGCTTCGCAGTGATGGAGCCGAGGCAGGCTGACAGTGAGGAGACACCTATAGACAGATGAAGATCAGGGGTTTAGGGAGATAAGAGAAAATCGGGGGTTTGGGGAGACATCTGAAAATCAGGGTTTAGCTTAGATATGTCTATAAACATATGTATGTGTATGTGTACATGTACATGTACATGTACATGTACATGTACATGTGCGTGTGTGTAAATTGTGTAAGTTGTGTGTATACTACATCTTCATATAAATACATGTATGTCTCACCTAAGACTGTTGAATGCAACACTCAGAAGGAGACATCTGAACACACACACACATATAGATATATGTATTAATTATATGACTGTATATATATATATACACACCTATACCTATATGTCCGTACACACATATCTATCTATACATCTACACATGGTTGTGTACGTAGGTCTGCACAAACTTATGTATGTGTACATGCACACAAACCAGCAAAGAGACGGACAAGCATGCTTACCAGGTACAGACATACGTTTATGCACATACATCCATGTGCATGCACTCAACTAGATACATACACATGTGCGTACATACTCATACATGTACTTTAGTTTTTGTTTCTGTATTTTTACAGCTATATATATATATACACATGTACTGGAGATCTTAATGCATCTGAAGGCTTGCAGGTATATGTACACACATGTACAAGTGTGCAGGTTTTTTTGCAAAGTTATCTGTTTGTATGTTTATACATATATGTCCCACCAGGAGACCATGTCAAACAGAAGACCCAGCCTACGTGAAAAAACTATCTACCAGAAGACCGTGTATAGCAGAAGAAGGCGATGCGACAGAAAGCCCGATCTAATCCTCAACGATCGGCAAAGGCTTCGTTGAAAGTTTTGTTTTTTGTATACTACATCCCAACCAACCAACCAACTAACCAACCAACCAACCTACCTACCCTC